AGCAATGGCTTCTCCGAGAAGGCGATCGCGTGGGCGAAGGAGGCCTTCCGGAAGGCCACCACCGAGTCGTCCATCAGAATGATGTTCTGTCCGTGATATGCATGGAAACGGGTCACCACTGGACACATAGACATCATCACCGGTTTGGTCACCACGAGACACAACCAAACATATGCTCCGATCACTTGTGCATCAGATTTATGGCAACCTTTTAATCATTAGATTTGACCACAAATTATGTAAACAATCATTACATCAATCACTCAATGGTTCAGTCGATGAGTCAATGCTTTGATGCCTTCACTGCCAACACATAAATAGCGTCACTAATAGTCACTCAGAGTTAGGGCTGATTCCTGTGGTACACAATCACTTCCAGAGGAATGTCTTTCGCTAAATGTTTGTCCCAATGAGTATAAAAACAAACAGGGTAGTTTACTTTAATACTTACTCAGTTGTTTCATAATAGCTTACTATTGTATAGAGTCTATAGTATAGAGTCTACTCTGTATTACAAATAGAGTATATATTCTTACGGTATATCAGTTCCGGAAGTGATAGTAAACTATAATACTATAAGTAACTATAGTAAACTTAGGATAAAGTGGTAATCATTGTCTTACGATTATAACAAACACCGTATTTAAAACTATATACAGTATGTATTCATTCATTATAAACTCACCGTTTTTGAGAACTTATTTGAATTTAAATAATTTTTAAAAATAGTTTTTATTTATCAAATAAGTATAAAAGTCTTGAAAAGTAAGAAAATGAATCCAACTCTGAACTCAATACTAATTAATGAGTATTTGACACAAATATGAACTAATTTTCAAACTAATCAACAATTTTATAATAGAGTACAGCAAACAGAATTATGAATACAAATATTGAACAATATTTACAGTGTATTACAGTATAATATATCGGATGTGTAAATGTACTCTATTTGTAACATTTGCTTATTATTCCTTATCTTATCAATGGACCGNCTCTCTCTCTCTCTCTCTCTCTCTCCTTAACCTAAAATTGAAAAATAAATATTATGTACAGAAGATATGATTGTGGAGAATGGAGTCAATATTGATTTGAATTGTTTTTAATTACAGACTATTTCTACGAAAAGCTGATGAAGACGTGAACAGAGACTTGTTTTATGAGCTTTTAATATCTCTTTACATACTGTAAGATTCACATCTCATAGTATAGAAACTTTTCGTTTAATACACGGAATAAAGATTTGAATACAATTAAAAGTGTTGAATAGTATTATTAGTGTTATCCGCACACATATAGCAAACCCAAACCCAAACACTAACTTTAAAGTCATATTCAATGAGAAGCGAATGGATTGAATGGATAGGAAGTGATGACCAGAAGTAGTATGGATGAGGATGTGAGGGATGGGATGACAGGGATGTATGTGCGATGATGTGGATGTGGTGCGCGAGATGGCGTGTGGTGTGTTTGGTAGGCTGTGCAGTGTTGGGATCGCTTCATGGACTCACATTCAGTGATTTGATGAGGGGTTCAGTGCTGTCACAGTAATGGCGTTCACTATACAGAGCTGTGCACTGAGAGAGTGTTAGAGAGTGTGAGACACTGTGAGAGTGTTTCAAGTGAACTGAAATACTGAACGACTGAATGACTGAATCCATGAATGTATGTATGGATTGAATGAATGGATGGATTCAATGGATCTCTGTTTTCGTCAAACTCTTGTTAAACATGTTTTGCAATCATTTCAATGCGAACCAATCGATTTAATACATTAATGTTTGCATCACTTAATGGCAATCCATTGCTGAGACAGTGAAGCACATCCACAGCAATGACAGACAATTGTGGTAATAGTGGTGTCCATACAGTGATTGGCCTCAAGAGTCGGGTCCACACGTGAGGCCATCGATTGGGTTATCAATTGAAGTCAAATTGGATGCGAGTTTGGGTCTCAAGACACTAAACCACTCATCACTGATCAGCTCATCCATCAAAACATATTACCATTGATTGCCATCTCATCTCTTAATTGTTATTTCTATTGATTTGTTTTGTGAACACTTTCTCTCAATTGATATCACCGTCGGAACCAATGGTTCAATGAATTGGTGTATTGGCTGTGCTTCTCATCGAAAGTGATTTCTGTTGACAATCGGTTGCCAATTGGTTCCCAATTGGTTGCCAATTGATATAAATTCATATTTTGTGTCCGAAGAGGAATAGTGTTAAAAGTGGACACAATTGAAGCGAAGAGTAATTCAAAACTGGAATCAGAAGAGAGTGAAGCGAACCGAAGACCATCTCTTTTGGCGAATGTAATGATGGGATGTTTTGGTGGATCCAACTCCAAGAATGACGCCGAAGAGGACAAGAGACGCAAAGAGGCGAACAAACGCATCGAGAAGCAGATCCAGAAGGACAAGCAGATCTATAGGGCCACACATCGGCTATGGGATGTTTTGGTGGATCCAACTCCAAGAATGACGCCGAAGAGGACAAGAGACGCAAAGAGGCGAACAAACGCATCGAGAAGCAGATCCAGAAGGACAAGCAGATCTATAGGGCCACACATCGGCTCCTACTGCTCGGTGAGTACTGCCCGACCTCCCTGTCCTGAATCAAGTGCATTCATTTGCATTTATATTACGGTTATTGTAATCATTATAATCGTGTGTCTCATGTGAAGCTATGCTCCCATTTAGTGTGCATTCAATTGAACCACTTTTAAGCCATTGAATTGAATTACAATTAATTGTTTGCATAATTCAGGTGCGGGTGAGTCCGGCAAGAGTACGATTGTCAAGCAGATGAGGATTTTACACGTCAATGGATTCAGTGAAGAGTAAGACAGTTATCCCTTTTTACAAACCAATTCTCGTATTTAGCCATTCATTCAATTGTTGATAATATTTGTTTCCTAACTCGTGGTTTTTGTGAATCACTTTTCAAAATACTTTCATTTGTAGTAAATATTTGTGTTGTTTTAATGAGACTGAGATTTAGCCACAAATTAGTAGTACTTTAGTGGGAAAAGTGGTTTTGAAATGAGTTTAATATTGAATGTGTTTATAGGGATCATAAGCAGCCAAATGAACGCCTTATTACAGCGCAGTTTTCTCTATAATTAATTATTTATTTAATTTGAAACTCATTTCAACTCTATTTTTGAAGTGTTAGCACAAAAAAGATGTAATTTTTTGTCGCATTCAATCATTTGAGTGCAATATTTAGGCGAAAAAACGATTCATTCGTTACCATAAAAGCAGTTATACCTATGATATAGAAACTGATATAAGTTTTCAGTTCATAAATAGAGTATATTTAATATATATATATAAATATTTATAAATTTCAATCCTTAGTTACTAAAGGATATCAAATAAGCAAACACTCGATAATCATAATCATTGCCTAAATTTCAAGTCTAAAGCCATTGTGAACGTAATATTCAAATGTGTTTTATTGGACTTATTTCAACAATATTGACAGTACTATCGAAACAAAGTTTGATTTTTGTGTTTCAATTATTGGTAGAAATATTTGATTGCAGTTGCGATTGATGTTTGTTTAGAGATTTATATTTAAATTCTTGAAATGACATAAACTTTTCGATAATTTATTACATATTTTGGTTTTCAATAAATATTTATTTTGATTACTAATAACCGGATTCTTAAACGGTTTTGTCAACTCAACTGCACATTAAGCGGTAACTAAGGCGTGAATTTAACTTCAATTGAATTCAATTGTAAAATTGGCTTAACTTTAGATCAAATGAGTGATAAAAAGGATTATTTGTTTTGTTTTTATCTCGATTCTGTTAATACATAGTATTATGATATGTCTCATAAAAATCGAGTGATTTATTTCACTTTAAACGATTAAACTGTAAATAAATATAACATAAACTACTTTTTACAACTTATATGTAACTTATTTTTAGTCTTATCTACACTTTATTGCTATTTATCCACAAATTAAATTGTTTGTTAATCCTGTGAATAACATGTATTAATGAACTATTTGTGTACTTATCTTTGAATTTGTGAAACTAAACAATTTGATCGGATATTTGATTGATTAGTGAGAAGAGACAAAAAATAGAAGACATTAAGAAAAATATTAGGGATGCAATTCTGGTAGGTTTGGCCCCCTTTTGCACTATTGATATCTATGTCTTAATGTATAATTGATTTGGCAGACAATAACGGGTGCGATGAGCACTCTGGTGCCTCCGGTGCAGTTGGAGAACGCAGACAACCAGTGGAGAGTCGACTACATCCAAGACGTCGCGAGTAATCCTGACTTTGATTATCCCACTGTAAGTCATACTATGTTTATACCGTTATTTAATTATAGCCCCAATTTTGTTGTCTTAACACCACTTTCTATCAATTCTTACAGTTTGTGTTTGCAAATTATTACATTTTTCAATTTTACGACAATATAGAGATTGCCTTCAATTTTGCAGATATTAAAGCAAAATTAAATTTATTCATAGTTTTGAGTTTAAAAATTTATACACAAATCCTGTTTTTAAGATGATTTTAAATCTATTCAATTAATTAAAAAAAGTGTATATATTTTATACACTTTCAAAATGTTGGTCACGTTATCATATATTTTAAATGTAAAACTCAAATCTGAATGACTTTCGAGAATTAAATATATTATTACATTGAATGACATTGAATTGATTGATATGTTTCTCAAGAATAACTGTTAAACTCTATTTTATAAACATTTGTTTATTCTATAAATAAATAAATAAATAATTTAAAAACTTTTGCACAAAATAGCTTAATTATTGATAACTATTTTTTAATTATTATTTTTTATTAATTATTATTTAGTGTTTATTGGTGTAATGTTTTAATTATTTTACATGTTATTCAAAGCATTCAATCAAACTGAGAGTTGTGGTGAACTTTTTTTCGTACACTTTGTTTGTTTTGATTTATTTTCACGTTTTCGACACACAATGCGTTTGGCGTTTTATAACTTATATATAATATTTGAGTTTATTTTAAGTTTTGGTTATTTTTTGTTTCTATATTTTGATTCTTTGAATCCCTGCTCCCCTGCTCTGTAAGCGAGTCGTCAGTAACTTTGAACTGGCGTTCAGCCCAACACTACTGCCAGTCCTCTCATTGCACTCTATTTTCCATTGCATTCATAAATCAATTTAAGAATAGCTCTCATGAATGAGACTTTTGGCAAAACTTTTTCAAATCAAACTATCAATAAATGCATAAATACTCGACTAATTTGATATTCACCTAAAACTGTCGTTTACTTCTTATTTGATGACTTGATCTCATTTATTGTCCATTTCTTAGGAATTCTATGAACACACAGAAGCCCTTTGGAAGGATAGGGGGGTTTTGCAAGCATTCGAGCGCTCCAATGAATACCAGTTAATAGATTGTGCAAAATAGTGAGTCCACACACCCTTTGCCACTACTTTCGACTAACATTTGTGTCAACTATTGTCCAGTTTCTTAGATCGGGTCCATATCGTCAAAATGGCTGACTATACGCCTTCAGAACAGGATATCTTGAGATGTCGTGTCTTAACCTCAGGAATATTCGAAACCAAATTCCAAGTGGAAAAAGTGAACTTCCAGTGCGTTTCCAGGCTTTCCTTTGATGATCCCTTTGTTAACTGAGATGTATGTCTTTGAATGGACAGTATGTTCGATGTCGGAGGACAGAGGGACGAGAGACGCAAATGGATCCAGTGTTTCAATGACGTGACTGCCATTATCTTTGTGACCGCCTGTAGCAGCTATAATATGGTGCTCAGGGAAGACCCCAATCAGAACCGCTTAAGGGAATCACTCGATCTCTTTAAGAGTATATGGAATAATAGGTATGACTTACCATTAGTTATGTTTGCTTTCTATTACATAACATCTCACACTTGTATTGACTTTTCATTGGTTTATATTTTTTGAGATTTTATTTATTTATATCTATGGGTTAATCATTTTGTTGTTATTTTGGTTTTTAGCCAATTATTAACTAAACGGTAATCACGAGTAAATGACTTATCAAAATGTTCAGTATTTAATATTCGTTATAAACTACTTATTTATTAAAATTTATTGACAGAATATTTATTGCAATTGAAGCGTTATTAATATTATGTTTGATCTTTTTATGAAAGTGGTAGTACTGTACAGTATTATATTTTTTAAAGTTTTACTACTTTTGGAATTGTTATTTAACTTAGTTAAATGATTGTGTAATTTTTAAAACTTATAAAAAATAACATACCGTAAGTAGCGTGTAAAAGTTGATATATAATACTGTAATACTTTTAATTAAATATAATGAACATGTAATGACACTAAAAGATTTGTTTATTGTGTTTACAGGTGGTTAAGGACTATATCTGTTATATTATTTCTAAATAAACAGGACTTATTAGCAGAAAAAGTAAAGGCAGGGAAGTCTAAAATAGAAAGAGATTTTATTTATTTATATCTATGGGTTAATCATTTTGTTGTTATTTTGGTTTTTAGCCAATTATTAACTAAACGGTAATCACGAGTAAATGACTTATCAAAATGTTCAGTATTTAATATTCGTTAGAAACTACTTATTTATTAAAATTTATTGACAGAATATTTATTACAATTGAAGCGTTATTAATATTATGTTTGATTTTTGTACAAAAGTGTTAGTACGGTATTATATTTTTTAAAGTTTTACTACTTTTGGAATTATCATTTAACTTACTTGTTAGTTAACTGACTGCATAATTTTTAAAACTTATGACATATACCGTAAGTAGCGTGTAAAAGTTGATATACTGTATAAAACTGTAATACTTTTAATTAAATATAATGTAATGACACTAAAAGATTTGTTTATTGTGTTTACAGGTGGTTAAGGACTATATCTGTTATATTATTTCTAAATAAACAGGACTTATTAGCAGAAAAAGTAAAGGCAGGGAAGTCTAAAATAGAAGATTATTTTTGTGAATTCGCTCACTACCAGACACCCCCTGATGGTCAGTGTTAGCCCACCCTCTATGCCATTACAGTGAATTGATATATGATTTGTATGCCATGTATAGCAGTGTTCGACCCGGGAGAGGATCCAGACTTCGTTAGAGCCAAGTATTTCATTAGAGATGAGTTCCTGGTATGCGAGCAACACTTTGTCATGAATTCAATGATTGAATAACCGATTCATTGCTTAATAATTTGATTCATTGCTTAATAATTTGATTCATTGCTCGTATAGCGCATCAGTACAGCCAGTGGTGATGGGAAGCACTACTGTTACCCGCACTTCACGTGTGCGGTGGACACTGAGAACATCAGACGGGTGTTCAACGACTGTCGCGACATAATTCAAAGAATGCATTTACGACAATACGAGTTATTGTGATCAAGGTGCAAATACACTTCAAACATACATTAGGTTTTAATAAGTGTTCAATCAATTGATTTCTCGCCCAAACATTACGCAAACACAACAAACTTTAATAT